ATCGGGGCAGAGGGGACACCTGAGCTCAATCAGCTGACGGCTGTGCCCTACAGAGCCGGGCCGCCTCCTCACGGGCAGCCACCAGGACATGGTCTTCTGGGGGCTGGGCACCACAGTCAGTCACAGAAGGAAGGGCTAGGCGGAGGCCCAAGCCTGAGGCCATGGGCTCCCAGGATAGGCCGGCCTCTCCCGGCTCACTCTCGGGCTTAGGGGCCACCCTTCAAGAGAGGCTAGGCCCGCACCAGTCCAGGCTGGCGACGGTCCACTTTCCAGATATAACCGTCAGCTGCTTTGCAGAGGGCCAGGCCACACTGCCCTCTGCAGTTAGAATTTCACGCCCTAGGTGCTACACAAGCCATGCTGTTCTCTAGGGGTGTCCTCCATATTCCCCGCACCCAGAGCCTCCCCAGCGATGACAGCCATTGCTCTATCACGGACAGCGTTCCCCAACACCCCGGTACCACAGTGGCTCAGCCCCGCCTCAGGACGTACACACGTAAGCACTGTGCACCCTCGTGGAGCACCGTCCCCTCCCAGCTAACAGAGCACACCTGCAGGGCAGCGCCAGCCGCCTCTCCAGGCTTGAGTCCCGAGCATGCTCCGACCTTAGCTGCGCTCCACCCACTCTGAGTTCTGCACAGCAGCAAGCCGAGGTTCCTTCTCAGGACCAAGCAGCTTCACCAATGGCCCTGGACACAACTAGCCACCCTTCAGGCCCCCAGCACCGAGAACCTGACCTCCAAGGTCCGTCACTCCCTGGGCTCGGTGTCATCTGGGGGGGGGGTGCCCACAGGCCACTGGACCCCCGCACTCCTAGCCAGGGGCTTCAGCTGCACATGGGCAGTGTGACTGCCCCGAGACCACAGAGAACCAGCCAGCCAGGCCTGTCATCACAGCTACTCAGGAGGCTAAGGCAGGGGAGGACCAAGAGTCTAGGGCCAGGGGCTGGAGAGATGGCCCAGTGGTTAGGACCTCTTGCACTGGACTCAGGTTCATGGCAGTTCACAACTCTCTGTAACTCTAGCTCCAGGGGATCCGATGGCCTCGTCTGATGTCCACAGGCTAATGCATGCATATGGTGCACATACATGCAGTCAGTCACGCACACATACACATAAAAGACACTTTAAATTAAAAAATACGTTGGAGCCCACTAGGTTTCCTAGTGCGGTACCCTGCAGGGCTGCACAGGAGGCTGACTGGACCCTGGGCCTGGGCACCAGGTGACTGTAACTAGCAAGGGGGAGGGCTTTGGCTCCACCCCTTGGCATTGCTATAAACAGACCTTTGGAATAAAGTTCTGGGCCTGTGGCTAAGGATCCAGGCCCACCCGAGTCTGTCCTGTGTTTTTTCTGTTTCTCTTCCTCTCTATTTCTAAGTCTCTTATCCCTCATTCCTCAAGAGTTCCTCAAGAGTAAATAAGTGTGGAGGCTGGTCCCCCATAAAAATAAAAGAAGCATTTAAGGCTTGTCCCAGCTACAGAAACATCACCGAGTGTGGAGGAGGATCCCTGCTTCCAGTCAACACTAGAAACTCACCCAAGGATCTCAGTAGGTCTTAGCTCTGCACTCATGGACCTTAGGAGAATGTGGGATGAGGTCTCCAAGAACCCTGCCTACCCATCCACCTGAAGCATCGAGGGAGCCGTGGTCTGAGAGCACCCTCTGGACTTCAGCGCTCCTCACTCTGCCCACAGCAGGAAGCATGCATTGGCAGCTCTGTAGGTGGAGTGTGTCTAGGAGACACAGCCCAGCCCGGCAGAGCAGGCTTGGTGGGCCACCACCTCGCCTACAGCACTAAGAACTGGCCGTGCTTTAACCGACACTCAGAAGGCAGAGGCACGCGAAGAGCTGGGGGTCGAGGCCAGTGTGCCCCACGAAGTGAGTTCCAGGACAGCCGAAACTACGCACAGAGACCGTGTTTTAAAAACAAAGAAGTAGCCGGGAGGTGACGGCGCACGCCTGTAATCCCCACACTCAGGAGGCAGAGCCAGATGGGTCTCGGTGAGTTTGAGGACAGCCTGGGCTACACAAAGAAACCCTGTCTCGAGGAAGGGGGGGGGGAGCTTCCGGAAGTCCCTGAAACTGACCAAACGCACTAGGCCCCTCCCTCACAGAGTGATCAATAATGCCGCTGAGACCAGCAGCCTGCCTGGAAGACACAAAAACCAGCTGGGCTGCCTGAAGAGGTTTAGAACCCAAGTCACTTGGAACGGCCACTCCAACTTGTCACACTGCCTCAGGGTGTGTGTGCAGTGCCCTCCAGTTTTTGTGAGTTGTCACCATGCCCAGTCGGGCTTTAGTGAGGCGGCCATCTCTGAGTCACTTGTGTTCCTGTGAGCGACCCCTCACCACA